ATATTATTTTTGGATATTGTTTATAGGCTTGTACTTATTAAGATCCTTTAATATAGACCATGTAGTCTCCTATGTATTTTCCGGGTTATCAAGTTATAAATATGACTCAGTTGTGGTAGGTCGGTGTGTGTTCTTTGCATTTGTCTAGATCGTATATGTATAGATTCCTCAGTATATCTCTGTCAAATTTGGTCAGGCCGTAAAGATATCTCGATAGAGATGTTTCTAATCTTTTCTTGGTTCTCTATTTGCCTTTTCCTGGTTACTTATTCTCCAGTTTTGCGTCTGCTGCACTTTGCATTGCACTATTCGGACACAAGCATTTTATACTTTGTGAATCAATGTCTCTACGTAGGCGGTCGATCTGAAAGTCCTCTCATACAACGTCGATAAGGATGCTCCGCATGTTGCCGACCGCATGAGGGCAATTGCAGACATCATCCAACACGGTAAGCCTTGGTTTTCAAATTTGAAGTAGGAACGAGTGCGGAAGCTCGTTCTATAAGCGTAGTTGATTATTTTTATATGCATATGTGCACATATACCATAAGCATGTATGTTATAACATGATCAACCTCTCCCATATACAGAAAATTTGGATGCTGCACTCTTACAAGAATTGACTATACCTTCACTGGATGCTATGGAAACGTAAGTGCTGATATAAATGATCTGAAGTGCATCTCTTTAATTTTAATGTACGTGATGACCGTAGCTTATTGCTACTTTGTGATTACGGGCACAGTTTCTCGGCCATTCTCTGAATGTTGACTGAAGAGCCACTTCTCGACTATCACTTCTCGACTACACAGTGCTTTAGAGAAGACAAGCTACAGGCTCCTCTTCGATCCCAAACTCGTGATAACGTATTTGAAGGTTCAGGGTGGTTATTTCAACGCAATTGTAGTCAATACGGCTACGCTGAAAGTCCGGGAGCAATCCAAGTGCTTATACGAATTTCCTGGGTCGTGCATGGGTAGGCACGTGCTGGTCGTGGATGTGACAACTCACACTGGTGGTGCAGCAAGATTGATGACTAGCCATTTAGAGAGTCTGGCGTAAGTTTTATACATTTGTCGCCTCTGTACATTATTTTTCCTCTAAATATACAGTTTTTGTTTTATTTTAGAACGTCCTCTAAAATAAACCTTTCTGAAATGTTCCTCTTGCTTCTCTTTCGGCAATTCACGCGAAGGTATCCGCTAATACAATCAATTTTCCTTGCCGATGTGTATTGTATTTTCTTTTATCGCAGGGAATACTCTGGGGAACGCGTCAAACAACTGGACTGGATCTTCAATCATATGGCCGCACTGAATATTCCGAGTATATTTGGAGGCGATACAAATATCAGAGTCAAAGAGGTGAGATGACAGGCTTATAATACCTGAATTCTGGCACACTTTATCCATCTGCTAATTAATTTCCAAGCATCCAGCTAATGATTCGGTCGTATCTAAACAGCTTAAGCAAACCAAAGTGTCAGTCCGAGGAAGCAAGCTGGCGAAAAAGAACAGTCAAATGGTATGTTAATGAAACATCGCGTTTAGGTCTCGCATTGGGGTAAAGTGTTGGGGTACATATAGTGCTTTCGAATCTCATGTCACCCATCTTTGATCGCAGACAGTCGCAGACGCCTGGACATTGGCCGGAAGCCCTGTAGATGCAAAGTACACCTGGGATCTGAAATTGAATGACAACATTCCTAGTAAGTTGTGTCAATATAGGCCTTGATCAGCGCATTTTCGCGATTTCCGGCAGTTTTCAATCTTCTTTAATAATTGCACCGATGGTGTACATTGCCTAAAGGAAATACCTTCTCTAATCGCCTACTTGCAGCGGACCCGAGTCGCCCATATGTCCCTCGTTTTCAATTCGACAAATTGTTCGTCAGCGAAGGACAGAATTCAAGGTAATTAGAAATGTAGCAGATATTTTTCTCCCTGCTATCCTATCATTCCAAATGCCGAAATTTCTTCCCTCTAACATAACATTCTGTTTCAATCCTTATATAGTGAGCTAGTGAGCTCTGCCTCTAATTTCCACCTGGTCGGTACAAAAAGGTATGACAGAACAAGAAATAGTTTCTCATGCCCAGTTGTGCTCGTATCTGTTGCGTATATTGTTACCTATTTACGTATCTAACGATTTTGTTTCGCAACTCTCGCACTGCCAGGTTGCCTTGCCGAGTGTTCCCATCTGATCACTTTGGGATTGTGGCCAACATTGGCATCAAATGGAGGTAACCAATGGATACGCATTCATAGGCGGACAAAGCCTCCGAATGAATATATACATGGTCGACAAACATGGCCAGGCGGATAAGGCCTCGGTGAAAAAAATCAAGGGTGACCACCCAACAGTTAAGACCTTTTGTACGTTAGACGTGGGTCCGGGCGAACAATTCCTCGAGAGTGTATTCAGACGTTTCCTCGGCTACTCTCTACCTTTGAACTAGTATCTCAGGAACAATAAGCCGATTACAACACACAGCGCTTTCTTTACACGTCATGCTTGTATCTACACGTGTAAAGTAAATAATACAATCTAAATTTTAAGTGGAGTGGTGAGCACAGTAAGTCATTCAGGTTTCTTGGCTCTCATCAAGTAGAAAATGTGTGATATTTCAAAGGAATACAACAGTGGAAATCTGAGCGTTCGCATGAGCATTTTATGGATTCAAGCCAATACAACACTGTCGCCCATGCTTGTATCTGCGCTACTTAACTAATACTCGACCACAGCTCTCAGGCAGCCACCTGAATGCAAGGCATCGAGGGCTTCGGCCGTCGTCTCGATTCCCTTGAACTTGTGTGTAATGTAGTGTTCGATGGGAAGATCACCAGCCTGCCACTTATCAACCAGCATGGGGACATCCTGCGGGGCAAAAGGTGATGTATGTGTGAAAATCACGTCACCCATGCTAGATTGCACTAAGTGCTATTTGGTTACTACGTGTCAAATTTTCCTATCAACACCACTAATGACCGAATCGGAAGTTAGTTTGGCATCCACTCTGTGTTCTCAAATAGACTTGAAAAAATAAACTACGGACTGTGTGCATTTGCGTTACACTCGCGACACTAAAAACAGTTGTATAGTCGTGTGACGTAAGGTGTTTTACAATAACAACTGAATCTTGCATGAGAACATACCGTGCGACTCTTCCATCCTCCAAAGGCCGTACCCTTCCACTGGCGGCCAGTCACTAATTGGAACGGCCTTGTGCTGATTTCTGCTCCGGCAGGAGCAACACCTACAACACAACTCACTCCCCAACCTCGATGTGCGGCTTCCTGTGATTTTACATGACATTGCGAGCTGAATAGCAATCCTATACAACCATATGCCAGTGCGCACACGCGTGCGTGCACTACCTGCGCTAGATACCCCTTCCTCCTCCCTACTTGAATAACGTACCAGAATCAACACACAAGACTGTAGGTGCTCTTTTGTCAGAGAATTGTACCATACTAGACATGATTGCGATATTTAAGCATGGTTGATAGTGAACCGCTGACCAACAAATACAAGCCGATAGGATGTGCTTACGTACCAATGCAGATCGCATAACTTTGACGCTTCCCGTGGCGTCGAAGGTGTAGTCCACTCCCCATTTGGTCTTCTCAACAAGTACTTTTTCAATCGGCTCGTCGAAGTCCTGTCGATAAAATTGTTCGAGTTGAAGAGTGTCAACCTAATGATATTTGAAAACCATCGCATATTGTGCAAGTATGCTTGAAAATACCAACAATTGCTTTATCCTGTTTGAAAACAGCTTGAATCGGAAATGTATGCTTACCTTTGGGTTGAGACACTCTGTAGCTCCCAGCTTTTTCGCATGTTCGAACTTGCCTTCATTCATATCAATGGCAAAGATTCTACTGGCCTTGTTCAACGCTGCGGCCTGAATTGCCGCCAGACCCACTGCACCCAGTCCCCACACAGCTACGGTAGATCCCTCTTCGACTTTGCAAGTTCTCATAACGGCACCGAATCCAGTTGAAACCTGACATAGCACGCGTGCACGATCAGTGTATGCGGAGATGAGACAAGTGATATGAATATGGGATGCATCGTCACCCACTTTGCTATCCTTGCCACTAATTGTATTCATGAGATTCGAAATAATCACATAAATAGTAACACTCCTCTCGACATGTTAAATTTGATCTCCAACATATCATACCAAGAACTATCCAAGAAAGACGAATGTTTACAGTACAGCAATATGCAAAACTCTAATTAGGCGTATCGAGATGTTTCAACGCAATCATCTGCCCGTACTCCAAGTGTGTATCAAGGGTAGATTATCTAAAATCTGATGGGTGTAATTGACAAGCGATTAGATATGGATTCACACAACCCACAATATTCGAACAAGCTTGCGAACACATAAACAGTTCTGACCACATTTAACATACACAATACTTCCATGCATATATGCGTTATGCGACCACACCCATATATATATGAGCATGTCTTCTACAACAAATATACATAACAGATAGCACAACACAGAATTAGATCAAGTGCTGAGCTGGACACATGTGTATGATAACAAGGCAGCAACGTTGAATCCTCGCAGTACATATATTCGATCAAACACAATGGGCACTTACACCACAGCCAAGCAAGCAAGCAACTTCCAAGGGTGCCTCCTCAACGATCTTGGCACATGAGATTTCAGCAACCACCGTATACTCGGAAAACGTAGAGCAACCCATGAAATGGTAGATAGGCTTGCCGTCCAATGTGGTGAAGCGACTGGTACCATCAGGCATGACTCCCTGGAATAAAACCATTCGCAATAATTAGCGGTCCGAGGCAGTCCAAGATAGTAATAAACCGGGTACGTGCCTATACTGAAAGTGAAATGTGACTGTGCAAGATTGGACATTAACTATTTCAATTCACGATCGGGTGGAAGCTGTATGTATGTATGTGGGTGTCTGTGTGCTTGTGTGTGTGTATTTGCGTGTGTGTGTGTACGTGCGTGTGTGTGCGTGCGCGCGTGTGTGTGCGTGCGCGCGCGTGTGTGTGTGTGTACATGTGTGTATGTGTGTGTGTATCCATGTGTGTATGTGTGTGTAATGTGTATGTATATTTATAAATACACACACATATATATATATATATATATATATATATATATATTACTATACTATATATATATATATATATGTGTGTGTGTGTGTGTGTGTGTGTGTGTG